TCTCTCTCTCTCTCTCTCTCTCTCTCTCTCTCTCTCTCTCTCTCTCTCTCTCTCTCGATGGCGGAATAAAACGTTGCAATGAAAGGAAGACGGCGGACCTATTTTGAAATCTACTTTCATTGGAAGACAGCCTGATGTCCTACAAACACTCACAGACTTTGACTTCTAGACAGCGCCCTGTCATGACCGCCTTTCTTTGTTCTCCATACTTGGGCAATGGCGTCTATATCAAGGGCTAGATATGACCCATCTCGCTATAGTCGAGTAGGCACGCACCTTCCCGCCTTGTCCTTCATGTGGCTCAAATTGGATCTGTCTATCTGCCTCTCTATCTACGAGCGTATTCCCAGTTTTTATGTGACCTACTTACGTCTTTTTGCCTTTCTTATAATGTTTCTTTCGTGATGTCTCTTATAATGTTGCCTAAGTTCGCAACAACGTATTTCCAACGTTAGTTTTTATTTAAACAAGTGCTTAAAGGAGCATCTCGGTTTTAGGTGTCGAAGTTATTCCAATCCGAAAGTTGAAAAACTGCGCGTATAATTCACAAGCAGAAATGAGAGACCTGGGTCGATGTCAAGAGATGGACAGGAAAGATAAGGGGTGAATCTACTCAGCTGTCGGTGGATGGATTTGAGTAAAACCAGCCTGGCATATTATGAATAATATCTGATCGGACGTTATTAACAAAGGCATTGTCACATTTATCCAACCACTTACCGCCCCCCCTCCAAAAAAAAATTAAAAAAATTAAAGAACCATCATAAAAAACCAAAACAAAAAATCAACAACAACAACGAAAGAAATCTAAACAACAGCACAAATCAACAACGACAAAAACCCAATTAGAAATTAGTCGGTGCAGTTTTTGGTAGTTAAACAGAAAAGAAACTGAGCCAAATTGTTGGAGCTTACGGCTAGGATAAGATCTAAAACATCTGAAGTTATTGACACGAAAGAAACAACAATCGACCCAAAAACGACCTCAAAACGACACAGTACTCTCTCCGAACGACCCCGAAGCCACACTGTCACTATCGCAAACATGTATTTCCTCCGGGCCATCTTGGATTTTTGTGCGTTAATTGGAACAGTTGTTGTTGTTGTTGTTGTTGTTCTTCTTCTTCTTCTTCTTCTTCTTCTTCTTCTTCTTCTTCTTCTTCTTCTTCACAACCGTCATTCCCCCCTCCCTCTCCTCCTCTAAATTGAACTTCCTCTTAATGTTTCTTGGTTTCTCTTCTTTATTCACCCGCACTTACTGCGTTTGTGGTGCTATCGTTAATGGTCGTTCGCTAATGCATGCAGAGCAGAACGTGAGTTGGATTCCCGTGTTGGGAAGTTATCGTATCTTGTATCTCAGGTTATTTGCAGCGATGACCTATCCCAGTGTGCTAATGTTGGCCCTGATAGACAAAGTGCAATCAGGCAGCCCATTAAGTTAAGTTGCTTCGATAGGTTGTGTACAAATGTTTAACAAACACTCGTAATGACTGCCATCATTATTTTCTCCTGATTCTTGCTCTCCCTTGCCTCCTTTCTCTCCCCCGCTGCTGTACCTACAATTAATACTTCATTAGCTGAATTGCATTTGGTAGGAAAGGGAAACAAGGCATAGCCATCGAAATTCGTTTCAAAATTCATTTCAAAATAATAAACATAGTTGAACCAATTCTGGTGTACTAAGAGAACGTGTTTTGTTCGATTGGGCTAAAAGTAGACTATGTGTTTTTCTTTATTCAGAACTTTATTCTTTATTTACGAGGGCTTAAGAAAAGAAACAAAAATGGTTCTCATCGGAAATAGCTCACCACTGATGTAAATGGAGAAGTCTGTGAGGTTAGGGAAAGCCAGGTAGAAGTGTCGGCCTCTGACGGCAATCGGCTGCACAAAGTCGAGTAGCTGCAAGCTCGAGTCGACACAGAGAGACGCCCGCTTTGTCATTTTGGTGGAGGTTTGAACCTGGAGAACTGCGAATACGTCCGTAGAGTGTAGTAGATAGCCCCGGGTGGGGTCGATACGATGCACGTGAATCTCAAAGGCATCCAACAGAACTGTAGATGATGACGATGGTGATGATGGCGACGAAGACGACGAAGATGATGAAAGCAATGTGGATGATAATACTGATGATGAGGATGATGCTGAGGATGTCGATGAAGGAGACGAAGACGAGGATGACGATGCCCCCTGCCAAGAAGGTAATGAGGGCGATAACGAAGACGAAGAAGAGTTTGTTGCAGTTTGAGAGAAAGATGATTGCAATATCGACGAGGGTGACGAAGAGGTGCCAAATACTTCGTCCAAAGGCGTTAACGTGATGCGAGTGTTATTGAACGGGCTAAAGATATACAGCAACGAGCTTTGGATGGCAATGTGATGTCTTCCTCCATTGTGCAAGCCGCCTTCGGATTTGCTGCTGCTGCTGCTGCTGCTACTGCTGCTGCTAGTGGTTCTGCTGGCATCAGTGCCTGGTCTCGAGTAGGCAGGCACGCTGAGAACCTGGTACTCCCGTTCAAAGCTGTCGATGGGGAAGACCACCATGGAGTCGCCGGCTGTCTTGTGGACATACACCGAGATATCGTCAGTGCTTCGTAGAACCAGACCTGGGAAACAAGGGTATAGATTCGTTATTTTTCTTTTTTAGAATCGTAAGCTTTTCACATTATTTCGTTAGCAAGCTGTTCAACTGTTCTAAATTCAGACAGCAACATAATTTTAGGGGAGAGAGAGAGAGAGAGAGAGAGAGAGAGAGAGAGAGAGAGAGAGAGAGAGAGAGAGAGAGAGAGGGGGAGGGAGGGAGGGAGAGAGGGGGGCGCAGGTAGAACTGTTCAT